ACTTCCCCGCTCTCTCTCTCTCTCTCTCTCTCTCTCTGTCTCTCATCCCTCTTTATTTTACAGAATATTCAATTCCATGCTCTTGCATGAATCTTTGCACTTTGACTTCTTCTCTTCCACATTCAAATTTCCACTAAGTGCAACACACTCCAGGGTATCTGCTAGTCGCACACTTCTGACTACAGCAGGGTTGCCTATTCCTTCGCCTACAACAGGAGCACTCATATGCAGAGTCGTGGCCAACTAATTGGCTAGCATAAGTGACTCGCGGGAACACATTTGCACTTGCAACCGAATGTTGCATGTATGTTAGTTGCTGCAAATAGACGGATAAATAGATTGTCGGGCGCCACTTATTGATTCCGTGAAGGCAATTGAAGTGCTATTAGCTGGCGTCTGATTGCCGCATCCTACACCCCGCTGCCTGCTGCCCCTTCCCTTGCAGGGTATTCACAGCTCTTTTCATAGACTGAAATCGAAATTTCATTTGACTATTGTAAAATTGCGCTAAGCGAAGCGTTTTAAAGGGGAGTTGCCAAATGGGAATTCTTCTGCTGCGAGGCGTCGTCTTCCTCAGCTGCTGTTTGATGTTGCAGCAAATCGTTTGGGGGCCAATTTTCTAAGCAAATTTTCCATTGAGAAAATGCGCACAAAAAGGCAAACGGCGAAAAACTTTCAAGAGTCATTTCCAGCTGCGTTGCGCGGAAAATTCTTGAGGCGTGCAGAAAGGAGGCAGGGAGGCAGGGAGCGAGCTGAAGGTAATTGCAGCTAGTCTGATGGGTAATTGAAATTCGTTTGTTTATGTTGTCATTGTTGTGGCAGCCACAGCAGCCGCATGTTTGCTGTGCCTCGTTCTGGGGGCAGATTGAAAATTACTTAATGGTTCAGTGGCGATCGCTGTTGCCGCGGCTGTTCTGCTACTGTTAAATGAGCGCCAAGTGCCGGACAAATGCGAAAATTGCCACGATTCGAGCTGCATCTGAAGCTGGAGCTTGGCTTGGCTAGGCCTCTAACTGCCTCAGCTGCAAGTGGCAGCTGTGGCAGCCAGCAGCTTAAGCGTGTTGACAACGCATATTTATAAGCCCATTAACATTTCCATATGCACACACCACACACAAAGATTAATCCAACAACATATTTCTGATAGCTGCACAACAAAAGCGACTCGCATTCATTTTGTGGTCGATCACTTTTTAACTGGCCAATGAAATGGCATATTGCGTTGTTCTGTATGTTATTGGTAGCAACTGCAATTTGTGGTTCATTTCATAGGCATAGAGCTATATAATTATCAACAAAGCAAACCTAGCTAACAGCTGCCAACAAATGCAATGCAAACCGCCTGAAATGACGAGCTGCACTCGAGTCATAGCTACTTACAACATTAAGACTTATGAAAAGAAATATTTGAAAAACCAATAGGGAGCAGTCTAGAGGGAGTGTCCTACTAGCAAATATCCTAAAGCCTGCACAGAGCATTTATTGAATACTTGCCAAGCTTATTCCCTCTATATTCTGATGGATGGAGGGATGGTCAGATAGGCACATAGCTGAATAGAGAAACTGACGGATGCACGGTAGAGGTATAAAGCGAAACAGGAATAAATGGATAGAGGAATGGACGAACGAACATATAAGCAAGGGTAGATCAATCTAGCTGATCAAGATCTTCATCTCGATCTAGAATGTATTATATAAGTTAATGCTCTTATGTAGCTTGCATCAATTCGCACGATCACAATAAGCCCTGCATTATGTAGGGTATAAAATGGAAAGTAATATATCAACATCGGTTAATCGTTGAACCGCAATATATATACATATATATATAAAAATATACATATATATCAACTAACTGCAATGCTAATTCAGCGCATAAAAACTTCTTGTTTTAGAATATTATTTCAAGTATATTTCAAGCAAGTTAGAAATATGCCATAAATTTCTCTAGTGTCTGGCGATTATTAAAGTTTTTCGTTTAATAATATTTAAATGTTTATAATAAATAACTATTTTATGAGCGCAGTCAGCTGCTAATGCTACACCAGCACACCCACTCGCGCGCTCACACACACACACACACACACATGTCGCATTAATTTGTCAAATTAACACCTTTTAATAAAATTTAATAATTTTTCTTGTCGTAGTCATGGCAATTTTTCAAAAGCTCCAAATTTATGACTTTTATTTCGTTATTTCGAGTTGCATTTAAATATTTTTTCTCTCTCTATCTGATTGTTGTTGTGCGAGCTTAAATCTCACAACTCCCGCTCCAGTTGCAGCTCCAACTCCGGCTTCAACTTCAACTTCATCGCCTACAACATTCATTCAAATTATGGAGCCGCACTGCGATCGAGATCTCGTTTTAGTCACGCTAAATTTATAAAAACCAAACAAACAACAACAACGACAACAACAACGACAACAACAACGGCAGCAACAATAAAATGCATAATACATTTTTACAACAAAACACACCTTAAAAAATTGAAAAAAGACAACAACAAAGCACACAAAATGGTTGAAAAAAACGTTTCGTTTTCTGGTTAATTAGCGAACGCGACAAACCCAAACAAAAGCGATTTATGTACTCAACTTTTAACTTTGGATGCGAGCAATTGGTGGAAGGCACTGGAAAAGGGGAGCGGTCACAAAGGGGATGGGTAGTTGGGAATCAGTTGAGCGAGAAGACAAATGGTAAGCCAACTTTAATCAGTCTAATAAGCTAATTGTAATCTACGCAATTGATATGCCACACAAGTAGATCAAGTAACAGTCGAATGTAGTTAGTTGAGAGGGACAAAGTGCAAAGCTGCTAGAATCCATATTGATCTACAGGAAGGTCACTCCTCTTTGTCATTTACACTTAGAATGAAGAATGTAAGAATAGTGTAAGTAGTTGCTCTGTCTACTGCCTAAGCCCTTGTGAAAATGCATCTATAAACAATGATATCTATACTTATATAGCACAGCCCTAATACCAAATGCATGGTTCAATAAGTTAAAGTAGCCTAAGGTAAACAATATGAAACAAGACACTGGAATTTAATCTTCTAAAACTATAAAGCCATACAAAATGATTCGAATTAATCTAGCATTTATAAGCAATGAATTAATTATAGTAAAAAAAGAGTTTGTGTTGATCGATAAATATCAATAGCGTGCAAATCCAACGCATATGTGGCTTTGCGATTGCTTCAGCATATCTTAGTTTCAAAATGAATATAATAATATATATAAGTCTCATAATATATATAAGTCTCAATCTATATGTCTCTCTCTCTCTATCTATCTCTGTATCTCTCTCTTATTTTCATACACTTTCTTTCCATAAATAGAATATATTTTTATTTTTTTTATGTTTTTTATTATATATGAATTTATTATTATTATTATTAAACTTTCTCACTCTCTATAAAACAATTAAATAATATTAACTAAATAGCTTCCGGTTAAGTTTCACGTTAATCAAGCGATTCATTACCTGGCTTGCCCACACACATTATTTATTATTCATTACTCATTATTTATCTACTCGAATGCTAACATAAATAATAAAAATTAATTAGTATAAGAAAAAAGCCAACAGAGTCTATTTGGCTATCGTTACGCCCACTTGAGAGTTGAGAGTTGAGAGTTGTGCGTGGATAATGGGAAAAGCTAACAAAATGACAAGTTAAACATGAAACGACCCTCGCAATGGCAGCCACTCATAGCTCAGGGAACAACCCCAAAGCCAAAGGAAATATCCAGTTGCGAGTGCTTCTCTGTCAAGCACAAGTTGGCCACATAAAATTATTAGGCAAACGATTACCGAAAATTCCCTGTGGCGGCATGAACTAAATTCATGAGTGCCATGATTGTGTGCCTCAAGAGTGAGAGAGAGAGAGAGAGGGGGGGAGAGTGGGAGAGAGAGAGGCACGCGCATAATGAGCTTAAGTTATGTTACATAAGCCATAAGGACATAAAAACCACTCGAGCAAACACTTCATGAGTGGCTAAAGGAAGTCGAATGTGAACTGGGTAACGTGGTGCAGGGTGCGCGGTTGCGAGGGTGCGGTGTGGTGCTGCGGTGGAGTGAGCGCGTCATGGCGGTTGCCCCTTTTTGTCTTGTTCTTTCTTTTTTTGGTGGTTGCAACCTAATGAGCTGCAGATTGACGCCGCTGCCGGGATACGGTGCGGCGGCCTGCTCTGTGGTTGCCACATTGTTTGCTCAACTGTTTATGAGCCACTCAACCACTCAACACTACCCACTCAACACCCTGTCCATCTATCTGTCTGTCTGTCTGTCTAACTATCTTATGTGTATACGCTGTGAAAATGATAGTCTTATCGACTAATTCCTATTTAAGGCTTTGCTTTCAGTTAATAGCTGAACAGCATCAGCAAATTTATAGACTTTTTAATGCTTTAACTGATTGTTATTATAATTGTATGATAAAATAAAAATTTTAAATGTATATTTAACATTGCTTACATTCAATTTACTTTACTTTACTTTATATATATATATTAGTAAGAAGTCCATATGCCTCAGCTCAGATACTCCAGTGCTTAATATTGAACTTTTTCAAATTATTGCATATTAGCTACTAAATTCGTATAAATACGAAGTCTAACTAACATATATGTATATGCATATATATCTTTTAGTTTTTCTGATATATTTTACATTTTATTTAAAATTATTTCGGAGTCACAACTAACAGAGTCCATCCAAATCTGATCTGTAATACCTTTATTCTCTTATTAGCAGAACTGGATAATACTAATAATAATAATAATAATAATGGATAATCCTAATAATAAAAATGGCTTGCTTTAATTTAAGGCGCTTGTTAGATCCCTATAATATTAGTTATAAACTTATAATTATAAATGAGCTCTATCCATAGCTAATTAAGACTCTTAAGATCTTATGGACATATAGCATAGCATAGCTCTAGTAACTATCCAGCACATTAACTCTCTCTCCTCTAATCCTAATTGACACTCACCTGAGCTGGGGCGATCGCTGTAGCGCGTGCAATAGACCCAAGCGGGCCACACAATGGGCGTGGCGCTAGTCGATGTGGACGTCGACGTTGCGCCGTTATCGTCGGCTGCTTTTCCGCTGGCTGCTGCTCCCGCTGCTGGCGCTGGCGAGGTGGCGCTTGGCGACTTGACCAGGTCAACGGCTGCCGGATTGTTGGCGGTGCTGCTGCTGGTGGCGGTGCTGTTGGAGTCGTTGCTATTGCTGCAAATGTTGGCCAATGTGCTGGAGAAGCTCAGACTGGGCTGCGTTTGCGTCTGCAGCTGCACCAGATTCAAAGGCTTGTGGCTCTTGCGCGGCGTCTTCAGCGCAGCTCCGGCGCCAGCTCCAACTCCGATGCCAGCGGCTGCGCCAGTTGCCGCCAGACGCTGCTGCAGCCGTGAGCCAAAGTCCGCTTTGAGTATGTTGTCGATGCTGAACTTTAAGGCGCGTTCGTTATCATTCAAATTGTTGTTATTGTTGTTGTTGTTGAAGTTGTGATTGCTCTGCAGCGGCTGATAAGGATTCGGGTGCTGCTGCTGCTGCTGCTGTTGCGCCTGCTGCTGCTGCTGCTGCAGCTGCTGTTGCATGAGCAGTTGATGTGGATGCGCAGCTGGCGCTATGCCCAACGCCGTGGCAGTCAATTGAGCCAGTGCATCCTGTCCAGCCGTGGGTCTCATGGCCGCCATGGCCATTTGCAACTGCTGCGAGACCTTGGGTCCGCGCAGGCCGCCCAGCGGCATCACAGCAGCTGTGAGGGCATTAACCCTGGCCGCAGCCATCAGCTGCATCTGCTGCTTCATCAGCTCCTCCGCATAGAGCTGTGACTTACGCAGAAACTCCTCCTGGAAGCTGGCCGGCGCAGACATAGGATGAGCAGCATCCTCGGCGGCTTGCGCATGGGGATTGGCATTGTTGGCGACGCTGCTGAAGGCCGACGGACGATAGAGCTGGCTCATTAGCAGACGCTGCCTGGCCTGGGCAGCAGCCACTTGGGATTGCTCCTGGCCCACGCTGAGTACGCTGTTCTCGCTGCAGCAGCTGGCCGCATCATCCAGTTCTTCTTCGTCATCCTCATTGGGCTCCTCCTGGTCATCCAAAATATTCACCATATGCTCATCGCAAGCGGAGCCATCATCCTCCTCCCCGTCGTCGGGTTTCTGCAGCTGCGGACTGCTGCCGTGGCCGCCAGCTGCACCTAGGGGCAGCGGCAGTGGCAGGCAATCGGGATGCATTGCACCAGGCACAGCTTCTGGATCCTGATGCTGATTCTCGTTGGTGCGTTTCAGTGTCAGATTCAGCGTCGGATGGCGACTGCTGGCCAGCGTGGACATAAGTGTAGCCAGTGTTCAATGGTTGCGGCAGAAGTGCGCCTAGCCCAGGGTTAGGGGCTGAAAAGCCGTCGGCATTTCGATGTTTCGCTATTTACAATTCACAATTAGTTCACACGCACACACAAGCACACACAGAGAGATATGCACACACAGGCACACACATACAGAAGCACTTTCGTTTCGTTAGGTCGTCTCGCCGCTAGATGGCGCTCACGCACGTCTGGCATTCAATATTCAACATAATACTATTTAACGTCCGAAAAAACAATAAAAACTCTCGCCCGGTTTCCGTTACGTGCGCTCTGCCAGTCAGCTGAACCAACTGAAGCTCCCGCGAACTTGCAACTAAACGAGACGGCAAAAATGAGCAAGAGCGAGCAGTCGCCAGTCAGGCCACAGGGCCCAAAACCGGAACGGCAATAAGAACAAAACACACACACAGACACAGTATAAAAACTGCGCTCGTGCGCTCTCTTTTCCACTGCTCTCTCGCGCAATTCGAACATCCAATGAACGGCGAGCTGCGCAAGCTGAGTGACTGCCTATGTGTGTGTGTGTCTACGAGGGTGTGGGGTAAATGTTACACTAGCGTTGTCTCGCTCAGTCAGCGCTCTGCCTGGCCCGACAGACCGCCTGTCAGTTGAGGTTATGTTAAGTGTTTGTATATTTGTTAATTAAGTGCACTGCCAGCGTCGCTGCTTTTGCCGGCTCCTGCTGCTGCTGCTGCTCCTATTCCTGCGGATGCTTCGATACCAGCTTCATCTGCGCTTGTCTTTTTGATTATGCGCTGCAGCATTTAAGTCGTAAATCTCCAACGTACATAAGTTTCTTGCTTGTGGCTGCGCATCTGCAGTCCTTTTAGTGGCATACTCCATCCTCTTTTTGCACACACATACGTATGTATGTATATGCCTATGCGTGTGTTTTTGCTTTTGTATGTGTAACACATGCCACATGCTTTGCTTCCATTCGTTTCTTCGTTTTTCTTCTTTTAATAAAACACAACAAAAATGTTGCGCTTTTTGATGTCATTGTTGTTGCTGTTGCTGTTTTTAGCCCTGCGCTTTATAAATCACCACCACAATTTTGTTTCCAACATCTGCTGTGATTTCATAATTGTTTTTGATGCCTTTTTTGCTTCACACATCGACCGTTGATGATAGTTATACACATATGCATATGTGTATATGTGAGCTTGTCTAATTGGGCTCTAGTACACACATACACACTTACTGTTAATGGCTCTTTTCGCCTTTATTGAGGTTATGTAGAAATGTACTGTTGGAAAGCCTTTAGAATTACTTTGATTATTTACACACACAGACACACACACATACCCACACGCAACTAATTAATAAGCTAAATTTATCTTATCTGCATTCATCTTTCAAAATGGGCCATTAAAATGTTGCTTTAGCTCTTTAGACAACATCCGTTGGCCATAAAATAGAAATTCCAGTGTTGTTTTTTCCTCTTTCTCATTTTTTTCTTACTTACTTTATCGCCGCAGTTGTTGCCGACGTCCATCGAAAGCTGTCCGCGGTTTATTATCTGGCCAGGCAGACTGCCACGCCCCAATTGCACACCCAATCCAGTTTAATAACTTTGTTGCCCCGATCCGAGTCACTCGAACGCAGGTCGCGGCCCCCGGTTTGGGCCCCAGATGCCGACGCGTCGATAACGCAACCAACAAATTAATCAAGCTTAATTTCAGTCGGAGCGACAGAGAGAGCAAGAGCAGGCAACAATTATACGGCGATTAAAAGCAAAAAAAAAAAAAAACAAAAAATCCGTTGAGAAACCCTAGACACGAATTATGAATAACATTAAACGCAATTGCTCAAATGTCTGCACAATGCGAAATTCAACCGTTCCCCATTAGGTACTCTCTCTCCCCCCGTTCCAGATCGTTCCGTCGTTCCATGAAAAGAGACATGATTAAACTTGCGCACGAAACGCTTTTCACATAAAAGAGGCCGCGTAGAGCGCGCGTAAGGCGATCTTTGCCAGTTAATCGCGCAGAAAATCTTCATCAGAAATGGACGGCAGCAGCAGCAGCAGCGGTGGCGGCAGCATCGGCAGCAGCAAAAAGTAAAGTTACTCAAACTAAAATAAATACAATCAAAACATGAAGCGTACAACGCAAGCAATAAGTAACAACAACAACAACAAAAGCAGCAGCAACAACTACAACAACGGCAACCTAAAGACCCAAAGCAAAAGCAAGAAAGAAAAAAAAAGACTAAAAGCGCACCGGCAAAACATTACAAGAGATTCGCGGCAGTTGCTGCCGACTGCGCAGTCGCAGCAACAAATAGCATAATCGCACAGACGCGACGGGCTCCCCACACAATTTAGATGCGCCCCGATAGATAAACTTAAAGAGGCTTTTATTTAAACAAAGCGCAGCACAGCGCAGTCACCGACTCAGAGTCTGCTGAGGCTGTGAAACAGTGAAACAGAGAGAGTGAGCGAGTGAGAGAGCGGGAGAGAGAGAACTGCTGTCGGCGCTGACGCGCAAAAATGTATGTTGCTTACAAACGAGCAACATAAGAGAAGAGAAGAGAAGAGCAACAACAAGCCAGACTTTTGACTGCTAGTCTGTCTGACCTCTCGCTCACACTCACTGCAGCTGGCTCGTTAGGCCGCTCATTGTCAATCTTATTGGAATTGCATTTTTTTTGCCAGTCTTCGCGTTGCGGCTGATCTTTTAATCGAATCGTAGCATTTATTGTTGCGATTGTCGCGATTGTTTACGTTGTTGTTTGTCTAATGCCGTTTAGCAAACAATGGACATGACTGTGCCATAAGTCAGAGCACAAAATGGCTGCAACTGTTGCGCAAATTAATAATTTGTGTCGACATTGCGCAATCTTATTGGAGCACCCCCACCCCTGCCTTTGCCGTGCTTTGCTTTGCTTTGATTTCTTGTCATGGGACATTTGTCTTAATTTATGTTTGCCTTACCCATTGACAAACAAACAACAAAATATGCTTATATATCGCTATTTGAATACCAAATACAAACACACGCACGCACACGCGTATAACAAACATGGCCGCTCTAATTGGAATTAACACATGATAATGAACAACCGTTGATTGCCCTCCAATTCGACCAACACGAATTCAGCCCAAAGGCAAAATCAATAAAAGTCCAATGTGAAAATTTAATTGACAGCTAAACGATTTTCCACTTGCCATACAAATGGCTTCCAATTAGATGGGAATACGCCTGTATTCGATATCTAATTGGCATGTGTTTCAAGCAATTAAAAACAAACGCAAATAGAATAAGAATTTTTAATTTTTAAGTCAACTTTCTATGGGAGTTTTGTTTATAAATTATAAATTAACAAAAAACTAGTGGCAACTGAGTATATGTTTGGTTAGTGAATGTTTTAAGTGAACACATTGAAGAATCTTATTTACTATTTTATTTACTATATGCAAGAGGTTGATATTGATATTGAGATTGATATTTTAATAACTTTTATTATTATTATTATTTTATTGTTATTTTATGTTATTTTTTAAGTAATATAACAATTTATCAATTTACATATAATTTATTTAAGACTTTTTGTAGAAATTTCGCAGCCTTTCACTTTTTAATTGATTTCAGATCTACCTTAATTTGTTCTGCTTTACGCAATTTATTATATTAGACTAAGAGGTAGTCTTGTCTGTTGTACTATTGGCTTTTATTGATCTATTGAGCAACGTATATATATATATATATATATATATATATATATATATATATATATTATTTTATATATACATTTCATTTGGTTGTTCTTTAAATTTGATAAGTTTATTTATTTTTGATCCTGATCATGAATGTATATATTTTATGTCGTTTGCCATGCCTCTTCTGAATGAAACCTATAAAACCCTGACTTGCCATTTTCAACGGGTTTAGATTATAAAAATAATAAACAAATATAATCACCTCCTGTCATTTTATCATAAATTCCAATCGACCGAACAGAGTCAAACAAACTCTCTAGCTCTATAGCCGTCTCACTCTTAAGCCTTTTAATAAGTACAGTTTGGAACGCACTGCTTGAAATAAACAGTTATGCAGTCTCAACGAACTTATACAACGGGTTGAAATGTAAATTGGCATAATGCAAATTAGAATATATCAACGGCCAATAGGAATTTAAAGTATGCCAATAAGCACTTCATATGCGCTAACTTGTTAAATCCCGTAAATAAATATAATACTTTTTTCTAAAATACAAAACAAAAAATAAACAAATCAAATAGTTTATTAAATTATTTACGTAGCAAACTACGCATTCCGATGATTGCCGATAATAATATTGCTGAGACTGAACCTGAAAAGCTGTTCAATGGTCGATGATAATTATAGTGCTTAAATGTGGCAGGCCACAAATGAAGGGAAATGCATTCATTCAACTATTTCATTCAGTTTGCATTCAATCAACGGCCGCAATCATCTGTCATTAGTTGCAATTGGCGCTCCGCCTTAACGATCAGCCAAGCGCTCCATTTCCATTTGCCAACTGTTAAACACACACACACACTCACATACATATTTGGCATAGTGGCAACAGAGGGAACGAAAGCCAAGCAAACAAACGCGACATTTGAACCGGACAGACAATCACCTAATTACATACAAGTTCGTCCAACTCAACCCAGCGCCAGCCCCAACCGAACCGAATCCAACGCGAACAGCAACAAAAAAGCGAACCAAACCTCAAGCTATGGGTAAGGGTAATTGCAAGGCGACGGCCTGTCATCAGTTGCCTTTTGCATTTGCCAGCGCTCGCTGGGACGACGTGCGAGCGAAACATCTAAGCAAATAGCATTAAATAAAAGGTTAATAAATAGCACGGAACAGAGGCAACAGCAGCAGCAATAGTAACGGTGTTGAGCTTTGAGTGAGTGAGTGAGCGAGAGCGCGTGTAAAGAGAGGCAAATACAATATGGCGGACAAGGCAAAGCGAAAGCGCTGACAGCACAGCGCAGCGCACAGGGAGAGCCCAACCGATTTCATGTGACATGGACATGTGTGTGATGGCTGTGTGCGTGTGTGTGTGTGAGCAGTTTGTAACGCCTGTTTATTTATGTATTAACAGGCAGCGAAGAGTCCTTTCAATTTAACCGACGTCGCAACGTCGACAGCGCGGCCTATGCAAATGTCAATTGTCAGTTGGCGTTTATAACAAACTTGTCGTATGTTATTGTTGTTATTGCTGTTGCTTGTTTATTTAGTAAATACAACAATCAACTAATTATGGCTTGTTAAA